GGAGGCAGCCAATCAAAGATGTTTCCCTCTCATCAATGGTTTTGTCTCTATCCCCCTCTCTCGCAAAGTCAATAAAAACATTTTTTAAAAGATATTCAGGCAGCATGAAAGTGACTTGAGATGTAATGTCTAGAGGTTAAAAAAAAAAGTAGTAAAAATTGTTTGCAAATAGGACACATTTAGTAACTCTCTTGGTCTCCACTCCCCTTTGCAATGTGGTTTCTGTCAAGAGATGGAGTCTATTTCCATATATATATATATATATATATATATATATATACACACACACACACACACACACACACACACACACACACATATTAATTTCAAAGAGTAAGGGAGCAGAAGAGAGAGAGAGAAACACCAATGATGAAAGAGAATCATTGATCGGCTGTCTACTGCACACCCCCTACTGGGGATAGGCATGTACCCTTGACCGGAATTGAACCTGAGATCATTCAGTTCGCAGGCCAGTGCTCTATCCACTGAGCCAAACCGGCTAGAGCTATTTCCCCACTCTTTGAATTTGGCCTTGACCCAATTCATGCCCAAACAAATGGGATGTGGCAGAAATGATGTTGTACCAGTTGTAAACTTCCATTCATTATCTTGCCCCCCCCAAACTATCACTTTAATAAACCCAGATTAGCGTGTTGAGAATGAAAAACTACACAGAGGAAGTGCTCTAGGCCTTTAGAGATCTGTTCAGCTCCCAGTTGATCTGCCACCTGACTGCAGCCTCATATGTGAGCTCAGCTGAAATTAAATTGCCCTAGACCAGGAAAACCTGCCCAGGAAAAGCCTACCACAGTCTCATGAGCAATAATACATGGTCTTTATTCGAAGCCACTAAATTCTGAGGTGATTTGGCATTCAGTTAGGAGCACCAAGAGTTAGCAATAGATAATAATGGTGTAAATCAATAATATATTGTGGTTAAAAAATAAGATAGAAATAAAATTTACAATAGTTAGCATATGACTAGAATTGAAGTGTCTAAAGTTAAAAAGAAACCAAAACACACCACATTTATTTTTCTCATATATTAAGAACTCCAGGAGTAAGACCTTGAGAGTTGTTCATGGTGTTTATCAAGGCCCAGGCTCTCTCCATTTTTTATTTCTGCTGTTTCTAGTGATGGTCATCATTATCCTTAAGTTCACAAGTTAGCTGCTGCATCTCCAGGCATTGCAACTGTGTTCCAGGCAGAAAGAAGGTGAGAAGGTGACGAGTCTCTCTTCTTTATGGGGAAAATGATGTCTTTCCCACAAGCTCTGGTATATTTCTATTTCTATTTCACTAACCAGAACTCTATCATGTGGCCATACCTAGGTGCCTGGAGCCTGGAAAATTGAGGGGTTTTTTTGTTTATTTTTTGTTTTTGTTTTTAACGTAGGTGAACTGCTTTCCCAAAGGAAATAAGAATTCTGTTATAAAGTAAATGTTGGAATGGATATAAGTTAGGCAACTAGCAGTCATTCTCTGCTCTCTATTTGGAAAATAAGACCTTCTTACTCAAAGGAATAAGCCAAAAGGAAAAGGAATCAATGTACTTGGCATAAAGACTGAGAAGCAGTAGGGTGCAGGGAGCAAGACACTGGTATGAGAGCCTCCTAATCCGGGCTCTGCAGCTGATAAGCTGGGGACTAGTTCTCACCTCTTTTCTCCTTTAAATCAAGATGTTGGAGTTAACATCTGTAAGCATTTTGGAGAGACCCTAGAGACCGTGAAGGGAATTTATGATAGACTAGAGGCCTAATGCATGAAATTCATGCAAGAGTAAGCCTTCCTCTCCTCCCTCCCATCCCACCCCGCCCCGCCCAGCAGCTGCCAGCACCAGCTTCCCTCTCTAAGCCCACATCTGGAAGGTCATCCAGTCTAATTAGCATATTACATTTTTATTATTATAGATTCTTCTTGTGCAATAGCTCATTTAGTTCTTATAACAAATATATGAGCCATTATCCCACTTTACATGAGGGAATGTGAAATTTCAGAAAGATTAAGTAGTGTGCACATATCCTAGATCTGGTAAATGGCAGAATTTCAACTGGGGGCCGCAGGCCTCCAAAGTCAAGAGCTTCTTCCATTGCCCACCCTTTCTCAACAGGTGAAGTAAGCACATGCGTCTTTATCTATTGAATTTTAAGGTCACATTTCTTAAACTGTGCCTTTCAAAGTGTGGTCCGGTAACATCTGCAGCAGAATCACCTGGGGTATTTATTACAAATGCAGACTCCTGGACCTGCTTCAGATGAGCTGAAGCAAACTAGCTAGGAATCTGCATTTTTGAAAGCTTCCCAGAGAATGGGAAGAAATTTTGAAGTTTGAGAACCATGATTTAAAACTTAATTTTTTTTGCATTTATTTATTTATTTTTAAATATATTTTATTGATTTTTTACAGAGAGGAAGGGGGAGTGATAGACAGTTAGAAACATAGATGAGAGAGAAACATCATCAGTTGCCTCCTACACACTCCCCACAGGGGAAGTGCCGGCAACCAAGGTCCATGCCCTTAACGGGAATCCAACCTAAGACCCTTCAGTCAGCAGGCCGATGCTTTATCCACTGAGCCAAACCGGTTAGGGCTTTTTCTTGCATTTTAATGGAGTTTACTTATGGAGCTGTGGCTCATGGAAATTTCCTCCTAATATTAGGAAAATAAAATTTAAAAATAGTTTGTTTCTTTTTCCTGTTCCTTGGTTTCCTAACGAAGACACTCAATTCCATGGAAAATGTTAAGAAACTTCAAGTGTGTCATAGGAGATATCCTAACACTGATTAATTGAGGCTCTGTAAGGCACAGATTATCATGAACATGAACGCCGATTAGAAACATACAGGAAAAAAAAAAAAAAGAATCATTCAGAGCTGGAAGGGGGTGGGCAAAGGAAATGACATTAACTAAATGTTGTTGTTCCAGATACTGTTCCAAGACTCTTTATGTCACGTAAGTGGTCCAAATCCCTTTTATTTATAAATGGGATAGGTACTATTATATTTCCACTTTAGAGATGAAAAACCTAATGATGAGAGAAAAACAGTCGTTTGTCTGAGCTGAATCATTCACTCATTCAATCAATATCTCTTGTGTAAGGTACTGAGAATAGAGCAGCGAAAAAGCGGTCTAGAGACCGCAGGTTTCACAAGGCCCTGACTTACCCACCAAGTGTCCATTGAAAAAAAAAAAAAAATGGAAATGTAACAGCCACTTGGGACTAGAGCCTGCCAGAAGCAGTCTCTCCAGGTTTGCTTTGCCTGCTGCAGGGAGCAAGAGGAGCGCTTGCTGCTGGTAACAGAAGGTCCTTGGTTTTAGCAGCAGCTGCCTCCCTTGTTAAGGTGCTCAGTGTACACCAGGCCCTTGCCTGTTGAGAAGAGAGAGGCAGATGGGGGTTCTGGAGAGAGAGCCTAGAACAAGAACTTGAAAGAGCAGAACCCCCATATCTTATAGTCTCTCACTAACCTTTAAAGGTAGATACCCTGTTTCCCCGAAAATAAGACCGTGTCTTATATTAATTTTTTTCTCCCAAAGTTGCGCTAGGTCTTATTTTCGGAGGATGTCTTATTTTCGGGGAAACACGGTATTATTTCCATTTTATAAATGAAGACATGGAGTTTCAGGAGGGTTAACTGACACTCAAGTAAGTGTCCTAGCCAAGAAAGAAACAGGGCAGGCTTGGGATCCCAGCTCCAACACTCCCACCCTCCCTGCCCCTCTACAGTTCAGGAGAGAAGTCTTCACAGGTAGGTTAAAAGTAATTTACAAGCCAATACTGGAGGCTGGCTTTGATTCCTGCTACCAAGGTTTATTTCATTCCATGTTCAAATCATACAGAAAACAGTTTTCTCCTTAAACGGTTCTGTGGGAAAATGTGTCCCCTGTACTACGTTACAGCTTCCTAGGCTGTTGTTTGTGTCTGAACCGAGGACTAGTCTTACAGGAAGAATTACAAATCTGGAGCTCATTTTGGCCTCCCAGAGGGAAGGTGGGTGGAGCGCCTTCACAGTCTCACAGTCAATTAGAAATTCAGAATGAAAACGTAGTCGAGTTTATTTGGGTTTCTAGTGACACCTCAGAATTATTGTGCAGGCTTGTCAGAGACAGCTCAACGGAATGAACGCTTCCCTTCCGCCCCAGGGGTGCAGCGTGCCGAGAAAGGGAATCCTCCTGTTTGGGAGGTGAAGGTACCTTCCCTTTCCTGAGTCAGAAATGGGTGGGAGGGAAGGTGTGTGGTTTGGAGTCCCCTCTGAGTTCCGGAGGGAGGCGGGAGGCTATAGGGATATGTCTTAGTTCAGGATCTGAAGTCTGAGGCTGGAATATGAGGCCAAGATTTGGGGATTTGCTGGACCTGAAATTTGGGGGGAAGGGGTGCCCAGGTTGGGGGGTAGATGACCGCGGGAGTCAGGGGACTGAGTCATATACGAAGGGCACTGAGGGAGGATCTTAGGAATGTTGAAAGCAGAGGCTCGGATCTGCGGAGGGAAGTTGAAGCGGATTTGGATGAATGCGTTGGAGACCAGTAGCGTCGGACTGTGAATGGGGTCGGCGAGGTTTTGGGATCAGTACCAGATCTTAGGTTCCTCGAGGAGGCCAGAAGAAGAAAAGAGCGTCCAGTGACCACAGACAGCCTTTTTCTTTTTCCGAAAGTGACTCACACCCAGACACACCCATCGTCCAGCCCGGGGCCTCCTGAACTGTGGGGTTGGCAGGAACCAAGCTTAGTGTGGACCCTGCCCCCACTCGGTCTCCAGCGAGCGCGGAGCCGCAGCTCTGGCTGGGGCAGGGGTCTCTGCAAGCGCTGCTCCCGGGGAGCCTGGGGGCGTGGCCAGCGGCCTGGCACCCGCGGCTCCGGATTGGCTGTCCCGAGGACCCGCGGGCGGGGCTCCGGGCTGGGTCCCGCTCAGCGGCTCGCAGACGGCTGGGAGGCGGGGCCGGCGGGAGCCATCAGCCAATGGGCGCGCGGCCCCCGAGCAGTTACAAAGGGCCGGAGCCAGGCCGCCGCCGCGGCGGGGGAGGTGGGGCGAGGCGGGCTTGCTGAGGCGAGGCAGTGGCCGGGCCGGGCCGGGCCACAGGCGGCGGCGGCGGCGGTAGCGGCGGAGGGACCATGGAAGCAGCGGTCGCCGCTCCGCGTCCCTGGCTGTTCCTCTTCGTGCTGGCGGCGGCGGCGGCAGTGACCCTGGTCCCGGGGGCGACGGGTGAGCGGCGGGGGCGGCGGCGGGGCGCGCGGGCCGGGCCGGGCCTCTGGCTCGCTCCTTCTCTTTCTCAAACATGGCGCGGGGCCGGGGGCGCAGGTGGCGGCGCCCGGGCAAGGGCCCGGGCTTTGCTGGCCGGGCCGCCGCCGCCACGCGAGCCGCGGGCGGAGAGGGAAGGCGGGGCGGGGGCGTGTGTCCGAGCGCGGCGGGACGTGCCTGGCGGCCGGCGGCCGGCGGCCGGCCCGGCGCTCGGCCCCGCGGGGAAGGGGATGTGCCCGGCCCGTCGGAGAACGGGGGCTGCCCTCTGGGCGCGGGCGGAGGGGTGTGAGGCCGGCCTCCGTCGGGGCGCTGTGTGGCGCTGTCCCGGGCACCCCACCCGGAGTGGGCTGGGCCCGAGAGGCTCCCGGGGGGGGGGGGGGCAAGATTGGGGTCCGAGTCGCCAGGCTTCCCGGGGCGGTGGAGGGGGCGGCGACCCCGGGGTCAGCAGGGCGACCCTGCCGAGAGGGGCCCCTCGCCAGCCGGCGGCGGCTTGGAAGGGGGGCCGCGGGGCTTTGTGTGCGGAGCGGGGGACGCGAAGATGAGCGTCTGGGAGACGTGGAAGGGAACCCGGCAATCGGAAGGCTACAGATTGTTTTCGCCGTAGAAACTTGAACTTTTTGTTCACTCTGCGGGGTTCGGAACGTGTGAATTTGAATGGGGGTGGTGGCTCTCAATTGATCAAACCGCTTTTCTTTCCTCGAAGGAACATCGCTAGTGAGGCTCCTTTTCTTGAGTGACAGTTAGTTTGAGTCAATCGTCTTGTGTAGCGGTTTTCAATTGGGGGGGGGGGGGGGGGGAGATGTTCGCTTCGTTTTTTCCAAAATATTAAATCAGGACTGGGTATCTGGTCATTGCCTACCACCGAGGAGTGTGGAAAACTTTGTTAGCATTCACACGAAAATACTAAACACTGAATTAGAGAGCCTTAGTGTTAGCAACCAAGATACAGTGAAAGCACGTTTCTGTTTCCGAAACAAAAACTCAGGACTCAGGGTGCCAGTGATTAGCAATAGCGGCTGTTTACCAAGAGCTTACTGTGATGTGGATGCATAAAAAGTACACCGGAGTACCTTATCTGATCCTCCTAACCGAGTCCTCAGGGCTAGGAGCATTTGCCCCATTTCGTACACGTAAAACTGCAGTGTGGAGAGGTGTTTTTTGTATGTTTCTGTTTTTACTCAGTTACTGAGAGCTGGAGTTAGGATTTGCACCCAGGGTTTAGTGCTTCCTAAGCCTGTACACTTGAATACATACTCCTAGTTGGCCCTCTTGTCTTTTTTCAGTCTTCTAATGAGCATGAGCTTTATTATTCACTTTTAGATTTTTTTTGCCCTCACAGTTTGAAAATCAGATTGCCTTTCTGTCTCCTAATACATTCCTGGAGTCTCCTCTCACTGGGCCTACATTAGGGGAAACAATCCATTTTTGACATTGGTCTAAAGAGGTGGTGGAGGGCAAGATAAATGGGTGGACAGGTGGGACAATCAATATAGTTACTCCTCAAGCATAAATTACATGTCCACACCACTACTAACTCAAATAACAGTTCATTCTTTTTCACCTAACTTGGCACACAAAGTTTTCATGGAATCAAATAATAATGGGGTAATTGGTGTACAGAACATTGCCCAGTCCAGGCTCTGGAGGAGTTTCCAGATGGTGGCATATGTTATAATGCAAAGCTGATTCGGGTGCTAATGCACTGAAGTATAGACTACTGTTCTGCCTGCCCTTGTTGGGTATGTTGATGCTTCGGTCCATCCTTTCATACATTCTGAAGAAGCTCAATGCTTTTTCTAAGTTTATAACTTGACTTCCTTTTTAAGAGCTCACAGTTCCTTGTTGTCTGGGTATCCGTTTTGTATTTCTCAGCTAATGCTGTCTCCAACATAGATTTCTCTAAGGTTCCCTGTCCCTGACCCACAGTTTAGTACCACTATATATCTACATGTATGTCATGTGAGAGTGCTGCTTGTTTCCTTTCTGCCAATTCATAACTTTTTTCTTTGCAAACATGCCCCCAAACCATGTTTTTGTTGGATGTCTCTTCCCTTCTTTGTATCCATCTGTCAGTTTAGTCCTCCTGCCTGTGTCATCCCTCAAAATCTAGTTGCTTTCCAGTGTTTCTCTCTTCCAGGCTTTTCTATAGGCTACTGCTGAGCTCATCATCCTCAGTCATCCCTACAAAGGTTTTACAAGATTTCCCATTTGTATTCAGCACTTAGACCAACACCTGAGGCTTATGATTACGGCCATCTCTGATTGTCCAACACTTCTCACTATTGCACACCCTCAATTCCAGCGATTTCTGTTTTCCTACTGGCTCCTGGCTTTTCAGCCTTTTCAAAATTACATACTTAATTTTGCCCCTTTTGGGAGTGTGAGAAGTTCTCAGTGTTGACTTCCTTCCTGTTCTCTATTCCCCTGAATCGTATATAGCACTTCAGATTTTGTTGCCTGTTTCTACCATCCTGTACTATTTAACTATACTCTTGAACATGTTATAGGTAATCAGAGGGCCAGGGTTATGCCTTCTATTTTCTTTATGCTCTCAGAACCTAGCACTGTGTTTTATATTCTGATCCACTTAAATGCTTGTTGATTAAATGCATTCCATTTGAGCATTCATGTAATATATTGTTATATTAATAGTTAAGCAATATTAACTATGGGTATTCAGAATAAGTCGTATGAAATAAGCAGTTTGATGTGGTGAAATAAGCAATTGGTTCTTACGTTTGGTTATTAGTCCCAACTTTAACTCTAGTTAAATAGAAAATGAGTTTGACATCTACTTTTCCTAATTCATGAGATCATGAAGATCAAGAGAAAGTTGTGTTAGAGTTTGAGGTTGCTATTTGGTATTGGTATTAATAGATTGGACTGATGTTCCACCAGCAATTCCCATTGGCCATGTGTGTTTTGATTGGTCAGATATCTTTCTCTGACTGGTTAGTACTATTGTGGTGCCAGTTGATAAATATTTTTATATTAACTCCCATTAGAGAGGCATCAGAATTCAAAGAGGGGAGTGATTAATGTAAGCTGAAGTGATGGGGGAGGTTTCCTGGACGCTTTAGGACTTAAACTGACTTTGAAAGGTGGCTAGAATTCAGGTGGGCAGAAAGAGGGATTTGATGAGTGTTAAGCTGTCTTTGCAAACTGTGTCCCTCAACTGTTCCAGGGCCTACCCCAGTGCAGAAACCAAAGCTTTTCAATAACTGGCTGGCAAGTTATTCTTTTGAGTTAAGTTTCTTATTCTTTACTGTCATTTAAAAAAAATTTTTTTTCTTTTTGCAATTCTAAAACCTCTATAATATGTGATTGGAAACAAATCAAAAAGATATTGCAAGTAAGGGAGAATAATATTATGGGATGTCCATCAGGAATAGGCATTCTATCGGTGAAAGTCATGAAGTCACTTCAGTTTATAGGTGGAAAACATGACTGAGAGAGGTAAGGTGATTATCTCAGGGTTGGCAGAACCAAGATAGGAACTTTGATTTTCTGATTCCAAATCTTGTGCTCTATATGGCACTTTAAAATATGAATGACTTGGGGCACGGAATGGTGTGGGGAGGAACAAGGTTAACGGAGTTGTTGGCAGTGAAAATGGCAACAGGTGTTAGACCAGTGGAGCCAGACCCAAACAAGGTTCACCAACCTTGGTACTTGAGTTCTGGCTAAGAAAGATTTCAGAGCCAAGACTCAAACTATAAGAGAAAGTTTATTTAGAAAGTCACAGAAGTAAAATAAATAAATAAATAAGTAAGTAAGTAAATAAGTAAATAAATAAATAAGATAGATTGAAAGTCACAGAAGTAGAAGTGAGCTATAGAAGAAATGGGCTCAAACAACAAGCTAATGAGGCAAAAAGAAAAGGGGGGGGAACCTTGGAGCTTAGAAGAGAGAAGGGTAAAGACAGTGTGCTGGGGGTCAGGGGAGGAGAGAGATGAGGAAAGGGGAGAGGAGGAGCTTGCTGGGTCTTCTGTCCTAGGGCTTTTAAGGATGGAGATTTTAGGGGAGGTCCCAGAAGGGGATTTCAATAGAATATCCATCAGCTTTCCAGGTGTCTCCTTTCGGGGTCCTGGCCTCCACTGATTGGTGGGCCCTGTGGCAGGGAGTTATTAGTCAATGCATCTGGTGCTGAGGTCAGTCATGGCTTTGCTTGTCTGGCTTTTCTGGGCCTGGAGCTGAAACACAACTGAGGCTTAGGTGTATTTGATGCTGGTCAGAACTTCACTGCCCTGGGGTAGGGGGGGAGCTTAATGCTTAAAGATTATTCTCCAGCCCCTTTGTTCATCCCCATCTAAGGGTCTGAGCCATATAACTAATGACATGTCAGGGAAGGAAAGATGTTGAGTGTGCGGGAGTGTCCAAACCGCACAGCCAGTGATATGAAAGATTAGGGGGTCTAAACCAAATGACCAGTGATATGCTAGGGGAGGAAAGGTTACCCTGTGGGTAGGTCCTTGTTTTCTGTTTTGTCTGTTGCTTGGGTTTTCAGCCCTGGTGACTGTCTCTATCTGGCCTATTGTCCTTGCTTGCTCTGCACATATCTGTTTAACTACCTACCACAGGGTGACTTACCTAAGTGAAGTAATCTTGAATTTTAGAGAACTTAAGAAAAGTGGCTTTGTAGGTAGGAGGGAGAGGGGAATGATTACAAAATATAAAGTCTGCAAGAGATCAGTCTCTTTTCTACAATATATTGCTGATAAAAGGACCTGGTATAGCGTTTATTGGTAGAGAAAAACAGTTTTGAGTTTAATTGAAATGGGATGTAATTGAAAGGCCTTGCGGTACATGGTCAGGTTTAGAATTTTAGATGATTTACTTTGTTATTGAAATTAAATGGTGAACTGACATAATAGAAATAATCAAGAGGAAGACTAATCTTGTTCCTGTGAGGAAGGCCCATTTTGAAAAGTTCATCTAGACCGAGTTAAAATAGTTACCTGAAC